GGTACTGGTGCTGTCCCTGCTGTGTCTGGAGTCGCCGCGCGGCCTAGGCCGTACTTCGTTCAGCTCCTTCAGCAGGTTCTTGGTCTACCGCCTTCTACTGGTCCTCCTCCTCCCTTAGAGTGTCCACAGCCTGTCCCGTCACAGTTACAGTTACAGCCGGCCTCCCCACTGCCCGCTCCTTCTCCCTACACTGGTCCTACTGGAGGTCTTGCTGAGCGTCGTGAGCCTGCGTCTCGCCCTGCGTCGCCTGTCCGTGCTGCTCGCACTAGTGGTCGTGGTTCGCGTCAGCGTCCTCCTCCTGTCCCTGGCACGCACCGGATGTCTTTGCGTCCGTCCACTGCTCCTCTGCGTGCCCCTTTGCCTTCTCCTCCTGAGTCCTCTCTTCCTGCTCTTCCTGACCCGGAGTCGTACTCTCTTCGTGCTGCCAGTCCTACTGTCACGCGTCTCCTTGCTACTGTTGTCACTGACCCTTCCTTTGAGTCCACTGCTGCGTCTGCCCTAGTTACTGAGCTCGTCGACTTTGCTGCTCGCTGTCGTCTAGACTACGCTGCTAGTCTTGTTGCTGAGTCTGAGTCTGTCTGTCCTCCGTCCGTCGGGGGTGAGTGTGCCCTTGGCACGGACGTCCTTGAGGACAGGCAGGAGGAGTTCCAGTGTTTGGCTGCTGCTTCACCTCATCTCGTGTCCGTACTGCTTACCCCTGAGGGAGACCCGGATGCACTTGACATCCCGACTCCGCGCTCTTACGCGGAGGCGATAGAGGGTCCCTACTCCTCTCAGTGGCAGGCAGCTATGGACGCAGAGATGGCTTCCTGGAAGTCCACAGGCACCTACGTTGACGAGGTTCCCCCGCCTGGGGCGAACATCGTCAGTGGCATGTGGATTTTCAGGGTGAAGCGGCCGCCGGGTTCTCCGCCTGTCTTCAAGGCGCGTTACGTGGCTCGTGGCTTCAGTCAGCGGCAGGGAGTTGACTACTTTCAGACCTTCTCTCCCACCCCGAAGATGACCACTCTTCGGGTACTGCTGCACATAGCTGCTCACCGCGACTACGAGCTGCACTCTCTTGACTTCAGCACTGCTTTCTTGCAGGGCAGCCTGCACGAGGAGATCTGGCTGCGTCGCCCACCTGGCTTCACTGGGTCTTTTCCTCCTGGCACCCAGTGGAGCCTCCGGCGGCCAGTCTACGGTCTCCGCCAGGCACCGCGTGAGTGGCACGACACACTGAGGACTACACTTGCGGCTCTTGGGTTTGCTCCCTCTACTGCCGACCCGTCGCTGTTTCTGCGCATCGAGACTTCTTTGCCGCCGTTCTACATCCTCGTGTACGTCGACGACTTGGTCTTTGCCACAGCTGACACTGCTGGACTCGCCCACGTGAAGTCCGAGCTGCAGAAGAGACACACGTGCACAGACCTGGGTGAACTGCGCAGCTACCTTGGCTTGCAGATCACCCGGGACAGAGCACGCCGCACCATTACCCTGACTCAGTCACACATGGTGCAGCAGGTCCTTCAGCGCTTCGGCTTCACGTACTCCTCGCCTTAGGCCACTCCTCTGCCTACTCGCCACTCGCTCTCAGCTCTGCCTTCGGATGAGTCCGTAGAGTCGAGTGGCCCGTACCCAGAGCTTGTTGGCTGCCTCATGTACCTGATGACCTGCACACGACCTGACCTTGCATACCCTCTTAGCATTCTTGCACGCTATGTTGCTCCTGGGAGACACAGACCGGAGCACATGGCTGCAGCGAAGAGGGTGTTGCGCTACTTGTGCAGTACGTCGGGCATGGGGCTTGTGCTTGGAGGGCAGAGTCCAGTGGTCCTCACTGGGCACGCAGACGCTTCTTGGGCTGACGACCAGGCTACGCAGCGGTCGTCACAGGGTTACACCTTCAGCCTTGGTTCCGGCTCTGTTTCGTGGCGGGCTACCCGCTCGTCTTCTGTTCTCGGCTCCAGTTGTGAGGCTGAGATCTACGCCGGGGCCATGGCTGCACAGGAGCTTCGCTGGCTCACCTACCTGCTGACTGACCTCGGAGAGCCGCCTCGTTCTCCTCCAGTGCTGTACGTAGACAACAAGGCCATGCTGGCCTTGTGTCGAGAGCAGAGACTGGAGCACAGAACGAAGCACATTGCTCTCCGCTACTTCCTTGCTCGTGAGCTACAGCAGCGTGGTCAGCTGCGGCTTGCGTACGTGGCCTCTGAGGCCAACACTGCTGATATCTTCACCAAGGCACTTGCGCCTTGTGATCATCAGCGCTTCTGTACTCAGCTGGGTCTTGTGCCTACCTTGCCTCACTTGCTCACCCCTTGACCTTGTTTGTACTGTTGCATATATATATATACACCTGCTCTTGCTTGTCTAGCCTTATATATATATGTAATCCTGCATGGGAACTGGCCTTGTGGACTTGAACTTGTGCTCGGAATGTGTGGTGACTTTGTGATCCACCCTGAGCTTGCTTTGCTTTGCTTGACTGGTCTTGTGACCCCTTGTTCTCCCCCACTTTGTCTATGGGGGTGTGTCAGATTTATATGACATAGCTACTGTAGGCTATAGTGGGGTAGCACATATGGGGTACAGTTTTCTAGGGTTTGCTTTTGTACCCAACTTTCCCTTAGTCAATTCATTCCTCATTTCTTCACACTTGCTCCAAGGTGGTGAGTCGCTGAAGCAGTTGTGCGAGGACGGCGGTTCCGATCGTCGTCGTTTCCTTGCTTGTCGCAGCCAGGTTGGGCTGCGCTTCAGCCGTCAGATTCGTCTGACCACCAGATCCTCCGGCCATTCTCACACGCGAGCGTGTGCCGGACGCCACTTTTCATTCGCCGAAAGTTTCGGAGGTGGCATGCGAAGGATTCTTGAGTCGCTCTCATACCATGTTGCGATCAGAAAGTGATCGTTCGTAGGATCACCTCAGGAAGGTTCGCACACGATTAGGTGTTAGTGGTGGGCCCTTGACCTCAATAGCAGAGTGAACGTAAAATGCTTGAGATGAATTAAAGCATGCAAGTACAAGGAATATAAATAAGAGTAGAGGAGAATACCAAGCGTCCTAGCTAGCCATTTACTCTAAGGGCTACATTCCCTTATTACAGCGAGATTTAAGCGTGCAACTCCAGGTGGTTACGAAACCGTTCGGGCAGAATCCTCGCCACTGCTGCTGCCTGATGCTGTCTGCCCGACGGTCCAGATCTTTTCGTAACCGTACGACCCTTCGTATTTCTTCCGCCCTTTCAACTCCAGGTTCGGTACTGCGTGTTTCGATTGCTGCGATAAGGAGTGCACAATAATTCATTCAACTTTTACTATTCGTAACAAGGAGCAAGGATGGTAGGGTGGGTGGGAGGAAAATGAGGTGTGGGAGGCTGGAAGAAGAAAGTGGAGGTGGTGGTGGAGTATTTTGGGTTTAGTGTTTTTCTATGTTCACAAGATGGAATTGAGGAAAAACATTCGTTGCTGATCAAGTACCGTACATATTTCACAATGATGTACAGATGATACGGTACGCATGCACGAGTCATATCACCTAATTTAGACAAAACTTTCATTTGAAATAGAGTGCAGTAGAGAAATTCTAACGGTGTAACAGATACCAGTTGTCTGCTTGCTTGCTCGAAATCACGATATGGTTGGCGAAACTCTCCGAGCTTCATCCACTTTTCCTGCACGACAAGCATGGACGATTGCTGCTAGCGAAAGTATTTTCCCCCGCGCGAAGTCTCGCTCCATCCAGTTCAACCCAGGTTTGTCAAAGACGGGTCGTGTGCTCACGACTCAAATTTTCGCCACGATCTCCCGTTGTCGATTTTGAAAGTTACAATTGCAACAAGGATTTCGCTGGTGAGGCGGCACCAAGACCAACACACCCACCCAGCCACAGAAGGCCTTGTCGGTCCCTAATCACTAAAAGCAGATCACCCAGTGATGTGAAATGGAGGCTTTCCTCTCCCAGTCAGCACCGGACGACTCGGAAAGACTTCTCCCATGTCTCGATTCGCGGATCGCGATTTGACGAAGGAGGCACAGTTGGTTCCGACGAAGTATTTTAGCCTCACATTTCAGTTATCGCAGATTCACAACAGTGAAGTAATAAGTACTGCAGAAGTCGAGTCAGCCTCCGAGGCTGCCCAGTCCCAGTGTGCCTGCCAGGTGAATCTTTACATTACACCTGGCAGGGCAGGTGAATCTCCTGAAGCGCCTCCTGACTGATGCGCGCGCTGAACGCGTACCATCGCTGATCATCAGCGAGCATTCCTCTGCCAGTCAGCCATCGAATGCTATGCGCGCCATGCGACGTGTCAACTTTAAGGCAAGTCTTTGTTTCGCCGCTCTCCTTGTTCTCCGAGAGAGATTTCTCGAAGGTCACAAAGCTCTCAGGGGACCTCACCGTGGCCTTTAGGCGACCTGTCGGAAAAGTGACCCTTTTCCCGCCGCGCTGCTGCTCTTAGCAGTTTCTCATAGTAGCACTTGGAGTCATTCTTCTGTCGATGATCTTGAGGGGACTTGCTAGTAAAGATGGTGGCACGCGCTGGCCGTTGTTGTGGGTGGTCGTCGCCGTTGTCTTGCCAATTTCCGTCAATGCATGTACGCGACGCTGCCGGCGCTCCGTCCACTCTCTCCCCCTCACCCTAAACCCATAATCACCTTTGAGGCGCCCGTTACCCTAAATGTAGCGGTAACCGCACCCCATTCTCTTTTGAGCCGCCTCAAACCCCCTCAACCTAATATTAGTAACCGCACCCATTTTCACTTCTGAGGCGCCTCAAAGTCCCCTCACCCTAACAGCAGCCCGTTTCCACTTTTGAGGCGCCTCAAGTACCCTCGCCCCTATAATAGTTACCGCACCCCATTTTTCACTTTTGAGGCGCCCCGAAAGTTCCTCACCCTACTAACTGCAGCCCATTTTCACTTTTGAGCCGCCTCAAAAGTCCCCTCACCCTAAAAGTAGTAACTGCAGCCCATTCTCACTGCCACTCTTTCCCCTCGATCCCCGTGATTAATCCCAGCAGCGATCAACTGCCAGGAATCTCCGAGGCTCCATCTCGCGGGTAGAGTGGCCAAGTTCGAAGGCGAGCTCAACTATCACCTGCCAGAGCGATTCAGGTCAGTATACAAATCCTGATCTGAAGAATTTCTTCAGGTCAGTTGGCTAGCACTCACTCGCCCCTGCAGTTTAGGTCAGCATTAAGCGACGCCTAATTAAATGTATTCTTCACCCCCGTTGGCCACTACCTTGCCGAAGTCTTTGGCTTGGCCTTTTCGGTCAATCGCCCCACTTAATTTTTAAAGGGGTTAGATAATAAAATCTAGTTCAGTTGGTGAATGCTTGCGAAAGCCTTTCAGGTCAGTTGGCGCTATCACGAGTCAACTTGGTGACTCGGCCAGGCTTCCCCTCTCTCCACGGCTCGCCCGCCCAGCGTCTTCTCTATCTCCCCCTCCCTCTACCTCTCTCTTTTCTTTCCATCCACTCTTCTCCTTTTGAGACGCCTCAGAAATCACCCCTCCTCCCGCCCTACCACGCCAGGACCCACGCCGAGCGAGTCAATCTCGGGACGCGGCTGCTGGGCTCTCCTCTCCACACGGCCCGCCTGCTCAATGTGCTCATGGGTTTCTTCGACAAAATCCCGCACTTAAGGGCCAAACAACGCAGCTTCGCTACCCACCCGCTCAAGCCAGTCATCTCTACTAGTGACAGTTCAGGCGGCAATGCTATAGAAAACGGGCCGGGAAACGGTCAAGGAAACGGCCCAGACGGTCAAGGAAACGGCCCAGACGGTCAACGAAACGGCCCAGACGGTCAAGGAAACGGTGCAAATGGTCAAGGAAGCGGCTCAAGTGTCTCAGAGGAGAGCGGCTCAGGCGAGTCAGACTGGGCAGTGCAGCTCCGCTGCCACGGCCCTCCCTGCCCCGCCTTCGGCTCATGCACCGCCCGCTTCCCCAACGTGCAAGCCTGCTGGAACCCCCACCTCGTGGACGAACCCGAGGACGACATTGCCCCCCCTATAAACTGCCACGTTAGGCGCAACAGGACACGCCAGGAGAGGTGGCCGCTGTTCGACGAGACATGCTCGCACAGGCAGGACTTCACGCCGCACGGGGCGACCACGCTGCAGATGGTGCGGCTGGAGGACGTGTTTTTGACGGACAACGGGTTCAACCTCAACCGCTCGCACCTGTTTGTCAGAAACGGGTGCCCGCGCTTCTTGGGCGCGGTGAGAGCTGCATGGCTGGGTGGAGGGATGGTTGGGATGGTTAGGGGTTGCTGGGAAGGAGGGTTGCTGGGAGGGAGGGTTGCTGGGAGGGAGGGTTGCTGGGAGGGAGGGCTGCTGGGAGGGAGGGCTGCTGGGAGGGAGGGCTGCTGGGAGGGAGGGTTGCTGGGAGGGAGGGTTGCTGGGAGGGAGGGTTGCTGGGAGGGAGGGCTGGGAGGGCTGCTGGGAGGGAGGGCTGCTGGGAGGGAAGGTTGCTGGGAGGGAGGGTTGCTGGGAGGGAGGGCTGCTGGGAGGGAGGGCTGCTGGGAGGGAGGGCTGCTGGGAGGGAGGGCTGCTGGGAGGGAGGGCTGCTGGGAGGGAGGGCTGCTGGGAGGGAGTATTTAGGGGGTCGCGCCTGCCTAGCCCAGCTCGACTTGGGCTGTAGCAGTCCGGGCGTGTAACGCCTGCGGGCTGTGTTGAAAGGAATCCATTGCGCCTAAAGAACATTCTCGTTCTGACCCAGTGGTGGGTAGCGAGGCGCTATACCGGGTCGGGCCGCTACCTGAATTCTCGTAGGGCAAACCCGACCCGACCTGGGCCGGCTTGGGCGTGAACGGTCTGTGTTCATGCCTTTACAACATTCACTTTTACTTTGCCACGTATGAGGCGAACCCAACCCAACGCACGGTGCAAATTCTTTATGCGCCACAAAACATGTCATGCACTCCCTTCCCTTTTGCCAGGTGACGTTCTATTCGAGGTGAGCCACACAGTAGGCCCACTCCCTTACCCTTCCAACAGGTCACGTACAATATAGTGTAAAACAAGGAAACAATGCCAATCACATAGGCCTACAACAACAAGCTGCCGTTTCGTTTCTGTAGGCACCACAAACCCCGTGTTGTGCACAGCACATCCTTCCCTTTCACCAGGTCACGTTCCAGGCGAACCACATGGTGCACAATCTGCAAATTCTGTACGGTCCGCAAACATTGTCGATGCAATGCACTGCACTAACCTCCCCCCTCCCTCCCCTCCCCCCCCTCTCGAATGGTCCTTGCATTACTTTGAGGGGTGGTACAATGGAAGATGTAGACACACAAGCACAACAAACACCCAAACCGGCTTCCTAACTACCTCAAGTCCCCTACCTACTCAGCCCCCCCCTCCCCCCCGGTCCGACCCTACTGGTCGAACGGGGCCTCAATCAACTGGTGCAGCTGTCCCTCACTGAGAGGGATGATGGGTCCTCTAAAGCCGAGCTCGTCCGCCGCCAAGGCCTCATTGGTCTTGGTGCGGAGGGCGTTGGCCTGCGCCCGCTGGAGGCACACGCTCCAGCGCTGGCGGTACTCCGTCAGCAGCTTCGCTGCTTCGTAGGAGGTAGGAGCTGCGTTAAAACGCAGCTTTGCCGCCAGCTCCGCGCATTGCCGCAGGTAAGCCATCACCCCTGGCGAGGGGTAGCCGTAAGTTTCCACTGCAAGCGCGTGGAACCCCACCCACGCGTTCCGCCGAGCGTACTTTTCCTCCTTTTTTGCTGCTGCCGCCCTAGCCGCCCATCCAGGAGCTCGGTTGCAGTTCTCGTCCTGGTATGACACCGGATCCGTCACGGTCACGTCACACATCCAAACCTCTCCAGTCAGGGGATGACGGATGGTGACATCCGCCTTTAGGTTTTCAACCAGAGAGTAGACATATGTCTCCTTATGAACCGTAAACCCCGCCTCAGCCCCAATGTTCGCTATCTCATCCCGCAGAGCGTGATGGGTTGCGGTCCTCCCTTTCCCCTTCTCGCAGCGCATGAGGTGGTTGGGGAGGCGGTCGTCGGGGAAGGTGGTGCGGTAGCGGCAGTCACAGCGTCTAGGCACGGGGAGGGGGAGGCCTAGGCGGAAGGCAGCTGCAGTTGAGAGTTGGGATGGGCCCATCCGGAGCGAGGGGATGAGCGGGATCGCCAGCAGCCAGTCCCCTGCGCCAGGTCCTAGCAACGACTGCATCCGTTGCGCTTGGCCAGAACGGGGGTTGGGGCGCATCCGCCTTGCCTGACTCTCAAGAAGCGGCGGGAGTGAACCGCCAGCGCTAGGCTCTGCTGCAGCTTCAGTCCTTTGGGGTCCGCCTTCCCGGCCTGGAGCACCTCGAGAGCCTCAGGGGGTAGGGCTGCCTCAGCCGCAGCGAGGCGTGCAGGTAGCGCGTGCGGAGAGCCGTGGGTCGGGTCCAGAAGGGGGAGGAGCGCGACGACAGCAGGATGCAACGAGTCCTCCAGGGAGTGCAGGAGGTGGGCGGTGCTGATCACTGAAGCGAGGTAGGCGTAGCTGCCTTCAACGGCGGGGTCAGTGATGCCCAGGCCTCCCAAAGTCACTGGCAGGGCCGCCTGCCGCCAAATCCTCCGTCTCTCCCTGGCGCTCCTCGGCTTCATGATGTGGGCCGACTCCAGGAAGGTGTGTAGAAGCTGTTCCCCCCAAGCCGACCATTCAGCTTCAGGGAGGGCCTCCAGGGGGGTGGTTCTGGCCAGAAAGGATGCTCGGCGGCTGACACAGCGGGTGAGGAGGGGGAGACTGAGCTGGGGGTCCATCTGGGCCAGCATGGGGAGAGGCGCTGCTGCTGCTGCCAATCTCTCTCTCACAGCACCCGCGCAGCCCCGGGGAGTGCGAGTGCCTACGGGGCTGCCGAGAATCTGCAAACCCTCTTCAGAGATAGAGATGCCTGGGGGAACTGAAGAGGGGTCGATTGCCGCGGCGGACCACGCCGCGCACTTGGCTGGGTTGTGTACCAGGCCGAGGGCGGCTAGTGCAGATGTGAGGTGGTCGAAAGCCGCTGTGTAGGCCGTGGCGTTGCGAGCAGCATGATGTCATCGGCGTACGCCAGCAGGACCACCTGAGGGTGTGCAGCTGCCGTGTCAACGAGGCACGGGTGGATGCTTGCCGCGAACAGGAGGGGGCCGAGCGGGTCCCCTTGGCGAACACCCCTGGCGCTCTGCAGCGGGGCTGCGCCAAAGTCGTGGTCGAGGTAGAGCGAGGAGGGAGCCCCATAGGAAAGGCGGACGAGGGGGATCAGTTCCTTCAGCGCCTCGTTTCTCAGTCCTTCGAACACCGCCCTCCTTTCGACCGTGTTGAACGCGTTCGCGAGGTCAATCTGCAGTGCCACTGCCCCAGGGTGCACTTCCAGGTACGTGCGAGCGGAGTGGATAGCCGCTTCGATCCCCCCTGCTACTGCTACTCCGAACTGAAGGGGAGCGAAGTGAGTACGAGCGGCCGGCGCAGTCAGAAAAAGTGCGGCTTTTGCAATAATCCGGAGGAGACACTCCCCCACCGCAATCGGCCGCTTCCCTCCCTGTGGTTTCGTAAAGGCTAACAGGCGGGAGGCCGTTAGCAGTTCCCCCGCGACTGTGGGGAGTTTTCCTGCTAGAGCTGTGTTAGTGAGGGCGAGGAGGTGGGTGAGTACTTCGGCATTCCCTAGGGCTGCGTCGCGGATCTGCTCGAAGGTTGTTCCTGAGGGGCCAGCCCCGACTCTGTTGGGGAGCTTGGCGAGGAGACGTCTGAAGTCGCGGGCTTCAATAGTGGGAGGGTCTTCCGCCGTGGCGGTGTGGAGCCAATCAGGGAGTAGTTGGCAGGCAGATGGGTGTCTCGCTGTGAGGGCTTCCAACACTTCAGGTGAGGCGGGTGACACAGGAGTGGCCTGGAGGGATTGAAGTGATTTTGACAGGTTACCCCGTTTTGCCAGTCCTTCCGCCCTTGCCAGTATTCCAGCTGTGTCAGGAGTGTGGCGAGGTTGCGGTGGCAGGGAAATCGCCTGGACAGCTTCTTCGTACAGGTCCGCCCAGAACCCTTGGCGAAATCGCAGGAGCCGATTCATCATCGCGCTCCAGTCAGGCTTACGGGCTGACGAGGTGCGGAGGAGTAAACGCGGGAGAAAGGTCAGTAATTTCCACCCTGGTGGAGACTCGGGATTGGCCGCCAGGTGGAGTAACAGTGTCAACATGCAGATCGCGAAGGAGTCGCGAAGGTCTTTGGGGGGGTGGCGGGCGAGAGGAGGTTGGCGACTGTCGCGCAGCGGGTCGAGGTTCCAGTCTGCAACCTGAGCGAAAAGGTCAGTATTTTTCGCCAGGTCGTCAGGTTTGAGCATTGGGGGGGTTGGGTTAGGGCCTGCAGAATTTTCATTGGCTGCTGCAGAGTCAATTCCGTCTTCTGTCGCGGCTCGATTTCCCCCCCTTGCACGATTTCCCCCCGCGGTTCGATTTCGACCTGTGGTTCGGATTGCAGGTTCGCCTCGGGCCTGCTGGTTTGGAAACTCCGCTCCCCGAAGCAGCAGCTCCAACTCTTCCTCGTCCTCCTCGACTTCTGCTTCCAACATCCCCTCTCTTTCTGGGTTAAAAGCAGGGTCACCCCCTTCGCTTTCTTCATTCTCAGCTTCGTCCTCTGCCTCCTCGCTGTGCACCTCCTCGCCGCCTTCCGCGCCTTCGCGCATTAGCCTTTCTGCAGTTCTCGCGTAACCGCTTGCGCCAGTGCGGCGCCGATTTGTGCCGCGCGCTCCTCCACCTCTTCGTCCTCTCCCGTTCCCTCGTCGTCCGCGGCGGCTGCTGCCGCGTCCCACGCGGATTCCCCGCGTTCCTCTTCCTCCCGCAGCTCCCGTGCGCCCTGTCTGCGGCGCCTCGTCCACCTCGTCCGCAATTTGTCGGCGCGCTGGCGTCAGCTGCGGTGCTGTCGGGGGTGATGGATCCATCCGCGAGACGGGATCCGGAGCTCGAGGGTTCCGCGGAGAGCGCGCTGCCGGATCCTGCGCCTGCCGGGCTTCGCCAGCGTGTCCCTGCGCACCCCTCCGCAAGCGAGCCCGTCCGCCGCTTCGAGCGGATGCTAACCCTTCCCCATCGGCCTGCCGCGCGCCCCACCTCGCCGGAGTATTCGTGGGCCCCTACGCGTGTTGCGTCGAACCGCCTGGACGGTCAGCCGCGGCAGGAGCGCGGGCGCTCGCCTCCGCGTCAGCCTCTGCGGCAGCCCTCTCCTCGGCGCCCGTCTCCTGAGCATCGCGAAGCTCATCCGCGCAGGGAGGGCGATCAGCGGTCCCCTGCGCGTCCTCGTTCTCCTCGCCGCCCATCTCCTCGTGGTCGGGCAGGCCAGCGCTCACCCCGAGCGCGATCCCCCGCGCAACGGTCTCCGCGGCGATCTCCGGCGACGCGGGGGAGGGGGTCGCCTGGACGTCGCTGGGATTCGGGGCGCCGCGAGCAGTCCCCCCCGCGTCCTCACTCGGCAGGTTCCGGCGGCCGACGAGGCCGGCGGAATGGCGGTGGGCGAGGCGGTAATGGTCGTCAGCAGGATCCCGCCCTTGATCGCGCCACGAATGCGTTTGCGGAAGTGGTACGGCAAGCCCGGGCGAGTGGGGAGGAGACCCACCCATATTGCTGTGACCAACGGTCCTCCCCAGGTCTCGGACCCTGGCCAGGCTGCTCCCCTGCGTGCGCCGACGCTCCGCGAGTATCTGCCAGCGCGGGAGGGGAGAGCTCAGTTTCGTGCCCCACGTCAGGTCCCGGGCTTCTCCGCGCAGCGCCTCTCCGTTGGCCGGACTCCAGGCTGGCCGTCGGCGTATCCGCGCGCAACACCGACTGCACCTCCCCCCAGTCACGTGGGGAGAGACCCCATGCTGACCATGTGCCGGATTCTGAATCTGGCGGAGGCGTGCGAGGTTGTGGCGAACTTGCAGCTGGCGGTGTGTGGGGCCACGCGGAATTTTCCGAGCAGTTACGGTCCAGGATCCCGAGGGTCCTGCGTGTCTTTGGCAGAATCGCTTGAGTCGCCGTTGGCACCCGTGTCGGAAGCGCCCGCCGGTAGCTCCCTTAGCGCGTACCTTCCCCCGCCACGTGGGGGATCTTGTAGAAGCGGCTCGTGCCGGGACCCCTGTGGAGACACTTCAGTCGTCGGCGCATCTCCTCCTTGCGGTGTTCGGCGTGCATGCGCTCGATGCTGGAGGTGGAGGGGGCGGAGCCGTACACGATGTAGGCCTTCGCCTCGTGTAGAACTGCATGTCGTTGTGTCTTGTTAGGCCCTGCTCCCTTGCTTCCTTTGCTTGCGTGTACTTCCCAGTGTTTGCAAATCTCCACCTTGTTCCTTGCCACCAGGAGCGCGCGGCCGAAGGCCGCCGGCGCGAGCCGCCGAAAATGAACTCGACACGAAATAATGAAGAGGAACGAACTCAAAGAGCCTTTAAATAGCTCGGTAGGGCAGAGGGCAGAGGGCTGAGGCAGAGGGCAGAGGGCTAAGGGATCCTCTCTCTCTCTCGCTCTCTGAGCCGCCAAAAATGAACTCGACACGAAAAAATGAAGAGGAACGAGCTCAAAGAGCCTTTAAATAGCTCGGGAGGGCAGAGGGCAGAGGGCTGAGGCAGAGGGCAGAGGGCTAAGGGATCCTCTCTCTCTCTCGCTCTCTGAGCCGCCAAAAATGAACTCGACACGAAATAATGAAGAGGAACGAGCTCAAAGAGCCTTTAAATAGCTCGGGAGGGCAGAGGGCAGAGGGCTGAGGCAGAGGGCAGAGGGCTAAGGGATCCTCTCTCTCTCCCCCACCCACTTTCACCAGGTCACATACGAGGCGAACCACATGGTGCACGAGCTGCCGACAGGTGTGCTGAACTGGGCGCACCAACCCAGCAGAAACTTCTTCCACTTCCTCGTGGAGCTCTTCCCGCTCATCCTCGTCTCCGCGCCTCTCATGGCGTCCACTCTGCAGCACCTTCCCGTGCTCGTCAGGGAGGGCCAGGTGGGACTTTAATGAATGAAGCTTCTGCATTCATTACAGCAGCTGCCCAATGCTCGCCCGGGGCTGCCAGGTGGGGTTATTTCTGAAGTCGACTAAAAAGAATTGACTTTGTGCCCCTCATGGCATTCACGCTGCAGCACCTGCCCGTGCTCGCCAGGGCAGGCCAGGTGGGGTTTCTTTATATTTGACTTAAAAAAATCCCATTGCACCCCTCGTGCTGTGAATGCTGCAGCACCTCCCTGTGCTTGCCAAGTACGGTTTGATTTGATTCGAACACTTGCTCTGCCACCATCCCTTCCAGCACCCGCTGTGACTTTTGAGTCGTCTCGAGAGTTACCCTCTTACAGCAGGCAGCTGTTTTAGCTGCGGTGCAGCCGTTTCTTGCATGAGCTTGTTGTGCCGTAGACTCACGCAGTGTGTGAAAGCAGGCGCCACGTGTTGTCGTGTGGGCAGAACTCTTGTTGACCTGTGGCCCACCAACTGTTGTCTCATTCCCATGCCTCATCCCACAGGTGCTCATATATGAGCAACTGGGTGCGCCACTGATTGGCATACAGCGCGATCAGATTCGCTTCGTGCCCACATTTGAAAACGACCTCTTTCACGCTGACGTGGTGTACCAGGTAATGCATGCACGCATGCCATGCAGGTGTGGGTTTGCTGGGTAGGTAAAGCATGCATGCTTGCTTGCCATGCAGATGTGGGTTTGCTGGGTAGGTAAGGCTTGCTTGCCATGCTGGTGTGGGTTTGCTGGGTACGTAAGGCATGCATGCTTGCTTGCCATGCTGGTGTGGGTTTGCTGGGTACGTAAGGCACCACCGAGATTCGTTGAGTGCGGGATCGAGTTCAACCTCTCTCCAAGTACCCAAGTTACGCAGAGAGAGCGGTGAGAAAGTTGCAAGATAGAAGTTGGAGTCATTCAAGCATTATGGGCATAGCAAGGTGACTTTTGAGTCACCTCGGGCGCATCATGGGCATGACAACTGGAGGCAAAGACTGCTCCCAACGTAATCAAACTTGAGAGCAAATGCTGCAACTATTTCATCTCCCAATCACACTTCCCCTCTTGCCCCCCTCCCCCCTCCCTCCCCCATTCAGCCCATGTTCCAAGACTGTGCGTACCCCAGCCGGTCGCTCTGGCAGACGCTGCGGCGCCGCCATCTGCTGCACCCCTCCGGCATCCCTCTCTTCAACCCCGACTGGACCTACCGCAGCCACCGCCCTCTCTCCCCCGCCGAGGCTCGCTCCTTCCCCTCCGACTGGGTGGTCGTGCTGGCCAAGCGACCGAAGGGACAACGCGCGCTGCTGAATTTCTGGGAGGTGGAGGAGGAGGTGGTGAGGCGGTTTGGTCGCGATAGAGTGATGCTGTTTGATGGGTCGCTGTCGATTCTACAAGGTGAGGGGTATGCCGGGTTTATATATCTATCCTTCCAATGGTCATCCCTAACTCCTTCCGCCCTTCCGCCCCACTTCCATTCCGTCCTCTTCCCCTTCCAATTCCCCCTCTCACCTCCGTCCCCCCTTAACCTACCCTTCTCCCCTCAGCCCGTGCGCTCTTCATGAGAGCGCGCCTCTACATAGCGGGCCACGGAGCTGCCCTCACCAATTTGATCTTCATGCCGGAAAAGTCTTACCTGCTAGAGATTCGCCCCCAGGGATGCCGCCGGCCTGTATATAATGGCCTCGCTTCTGCCTGCTCGTTGCGGTACCATCTTGTGTTCAGCCAGGGTGATTGTTTTTCCACTGCGGTGGCTAATGTGACTAGTGTAGCCCGGGTGCTTGATGCAATACATGCTACATTTTAAATGGAGGATGGTGGAGGTGGGGGTGGGGGTGGGGGTGCGAGTGATTGAGTCTGATGGAACACATTCAACCATTCTTTTCGGAGGCAAAAGGTCCAATTGGCAAAAAAGGCTGAAGACTTCTGAGATCTTATATCAGATTCACAGATTTACAAAAGGCTAAAGAATTTCGAGTGCAGTCTAGAAATGCTAATGGTGAAACAGCCAGTTGAGTTGCTTGATCGAAATCACGATGCGGCTGGCGAGAATGGCCGAGCTGCTGCGTTTGTACAACAGGCATGGTCGATTGCTGCTGACGAAAATATTTTCCCTGAGCGATGTTTCGGGGCAGTCCTTCGCCCGCGTCCAGTTTGCATATTTCTCAAATTTTCGTCACGTACCGGGGTTGTCGCTATTCATTCTGCTGCCGTACTTTCTTTCGCCGGACGGAGATTTCTTCGTGATGGTTCGGGAGGTAGGGCTTGTTCAGGAGGTTCAGGAAATTGGACTCCCCGGGTTGAAAGTTACAAGTTTTTCGTTGGTGAGGCAGGGGAGAACTAGGGCGTGTCACCTAGGGTGGTAACCAGCTGTTTGAATTCCAAAATTCTGGGAGTTGCTTTGGTACAGTACGGAGTAAGAGGCAATCAGTCTGGTTTAGTACGGTGCTTGTTCGAACAAGCCCCTCTGAACGTCCGAGGTGACACGCCCTTACCACACCCACACAGCTATAAAACAGCTTTTTAGCCAATATGTCACTGGTAAGCAGGTCCGCCAGTCTTGCGTTATGGTTATGGAGATTTCCCTCTCCCAGTCAGCACCGAACGACCCAGAAAGACTTCACTTCACCCATGTCGCGAATCCCGATGCGAGAAAGGAGCAACAGTTGTTTCCGACGAGGTTTTTTAGCCTCTCATTTCAAGTATCGAAGATTCACAACAGTGTGGTAATAAGTACTGCAGAAGTCGAGTCAGCCTCTCCTATTAGTCCCAGTGTGCCTGCCAGGTAAATCATTACACCTGGCAGGGCAGGTGAATCTCCTGAAGCGCCTCCTGACTGATGTGCGCCGTGAACGCGTACCATCGCTGATCATCAGCGAGCATTCGTCTGCCAGTCAGTCGTCTAAGGCTATGCACGCCATGCGACGTCGATCAACTCAAAGGCAAGCATTTCTTGCCCGCTCTCTTTGTCCTCCGAGAGACGTTCTCGAATCTACTCTTCGAAAGTCTCAACGCTCTGTGGGGAGACTCTAGGTGACCTTTCGGTCCAGCCACTTTATTGCTCTTAGCAAGCAGCTCGCACTGTAGCAGCAGTCATTCTTCTGTTGATTCACTGCTGATCTTGATAAACATGGTGGCACGCGCTGGCCGCCGCCTGTTGTGGGTGGTCGTCGTCGTCTTGACGATGTCCGTCAATGCATGTACGCGCCGACGCTGCCCCCGCGCTCCGTCCACTCGTCCCCCCTCACCCTAAATTTAGTATTACCCCCATTTTCATCTTTGAGGCGCCCCTCACCCTGTAGCGGTAACCGCACCCCGTTCGCTTTTGAGCCGCCTCAAGCCCCCTCACCCTAATAGTAGTAGTAACCGCATCCTACTTTACTTCTGAGGCGCCAAGTCCCCTCACCCTAACAGCAGCCCATATTCACTTTTGAGGCCCATCAAATAGCACCCTACTTTCACTATAAGGCGCCTCAAAAGTCCCCTTACCCTAGTAGTAGCCGCCGTTTATCTTCATTCTTGAGGCGCCTCAGAAGTCCTCTCACCCTAATAATGGCAGTAACCGCAGCCCACTTGCACGTTTGAGCCGCCTCAAAATCCCCTAGTGCTTTCATCCTACAGCGGCCCATTTGCACGTTTGAGGTGCATCAGCTACCCTAACCCTAATAACTGTAACCAGCGCAGCCCATTTTCACTTTTGAGCCGCCTCATAATCCCCTAGTGCTTTAATTCTATTTGTAGCACCTGCGATCCAGTTTCCCTTCCACTCCTTTTCTTTGATCCCCGTGATTATTACCAGCAGCGATCAACGGTCAGGAATCGCCGAGGGTCCATTTCGTGGGCAGAGTGGCCAAGTTTGAAGGCGAGCTCAACTATTTCCTGCCAGAGCGATTCAGGTCAGTATACGAATCCTGATTTGAAGATTTTCTTTGGGTCAGCTCGCAATTACTCGAACCAGCGATTTACGTCAGCCTGACGGGGGCAACCTAGAGGAAAGATTGGCGTAGCATTTTGCAAGGGAGAATAGTGGGCCTATGTGTCTGGATTTCTGATCAGTAGACCTTTGCTTACTACATTCCTCTTTTTTCAGATTAGTAGACTAGTGCTCTAGATCGCCACTCTTAGTAGGCTTGCTGTGGTTTCAAAACCTACGAATTTCAACTGCAAGGGAAAATATTGGGATGAGTGGACGGATACTTGCCCAAGACGTTTGGCTTGGCCTTTCCACTGGAAGTCAAATTGCACCGACATTTTCTGAAGGGGTTGGATTGGATATCAGCCAGGTGGTGAGAATATGCGGAACATTTTCAGGTCATTTGGGGCTCTCACTCGCACAATAACGCCCTCTGGGTCAAACCGGGGTGGCTCAGAGGCGCACCGGTAGTCTTTTTAACCTTTCAGAGGCGCAGCGGTAGATTCCCTCATGTCTTAGTCCGAAGGCGTAACACTCACTCTCTCCACTCGTACTAGTTCTTCCTCTCGCCCTCTTGCCCCACCGCACTCCCGCCTTTCCCGCCGCCCGCCAGCCCGAACACGACAGGACCCACCCCGAGCGAGTCAGCCTCGTAACGCGGCCACCAGTAATCTGTCCCTTTCTCCACAGCTCGCCTGCCAACGCTTTCCCACTCTCTCCCCCTCTCTCCCTCCATCCATTCTTTGCCCCCTCTCCATACCTACCTACCACGCCAGGTCCCACCCCGAGCGAGTCAACCTCGTGACGCGGCCGCTGGGCTTCCCTCTCTCCACGGCTCGCCTGACCAACGTCTTGCTCCACTTCTTCGACAACATCCCCTCACACAACTCCGAGACCAGCTCTTCTACCAGCAGCGGCGATCGTAGAGGAAACGTGTCAAGCTCGTTCATTAACAGTGCTTCAGAGGAGAGTGTCTCAGGGGATAGAGGCTCAGAGAGGAGTGGCTCAAGCGGGTCAGAATGGGCAGTGAAGCTCGGGTGCCACGGCCCTCCCTGCCCCTCCTTCGGCTCATGCACCGCCCGCTTCCCCAACGTGCAGGCCTGCTGGAACCCCGAATTCGTGGATCCACCCATGAGCGAAGTCATCCCCCCTATAAACTGCCCCCTTAAAGATGACACCTCAGAGCACGGCAACAAGGCTCGGAAGGAGGTGCTGTTTGATGAGACGTGCTCGCACAAGCAGGACATGGGGCGGCACGGGGCGGCCGCGCTGCAGATGATGCGGCTGGAGGATGTGTTAGTGGGTGACGACGGGTTTGCTCTCAACCGCACTCACTTGTTCGTCAGCAACGGATGCCCACGCTTCCCAAGAGCGGTGAGAGAGAGGGGGGTTGCATAAGAGGAGCACAGGGGGGGGGTAGAGTGAGAGAGTGTTTCTGAAGGGGTTTAAGAATGGGTTTATCCTCAACCTCAACCTCAACCTCAACGGATGCCCCAAGAGCGTTGAGAGAGAGGTGTGCGGAGGGAGGGTTGGGTAGGATGGAGGGTCGGATAGAGAGTGAGTGTGTCCCTGTGTGTGTGCCTGTGTGTTTTCCTGTGTGTCTACCGTTGTGTGTGCCTCCGTGTGTGTGTGCCTCCGTGTGTGTGTGCCTCCGTGTGTGTGTGCCTCCGTGTGTGTGTGCCTCCGTGTGTGTGTGCCTCCGTGTGTGTGTGCTCATGTGTGCTCATGTGTGCTCATGTGTGCGCATGTGTGCGCATGTGTGCTCATGTGTGCTCATGTGTGCGCATGTGTGCGCATGTGTGCTCCCGCATGATGAGTGCCCCTGGGATAATACACAGGTGCGCTCATGCTCTCATGTGTGTGTTAATGTGCTCATGTCCTCACACACGTGCTTCCATGTGTTCATGTGTTCATGTGTTCATGTGTTCATGTGCTCACATGCTGGTTTGCTTACTTGCTCGTGTGTTCATGTATTCTCAGAGACCAACCAATAGCAGTGTTCAATCCAGCTCTAGCTTTGTTGAAAACAGTGCATTGAGACTCGTCCATGCACATCACACACTCCTTCCCCTCCCACCACCAGGTCACGTTCGATGCGGGCCACATGGTGCACGAGCTGCCAACAGCAGTGTTCAACTGGGCGCACCAACCCGCCAGCAACTTCTATCATTTTCTCATCGAGGTCTTCCCACTCGTCCTCGTCGCCGCGCCTCTCATGCCCTCCCCGCTGCGAGACCTTCCCGTTCTCGTCAGACGCGGCCAGGTGGGGTTGGGTTTTAAGTCGACTAAGCTATCTTTGTTGCGCCCCTCACGCTGCGCCGCCCGCACTGCGGTACCTGCCTGTGCCTGTCAGACGCGGCCAGGTGGGGTGGTAACTATCAAGCAAGCTCCTGCATCCATTAAAGCAGCTGCCTGTGATCGTCAGGGTTGGCCAGGTGAATAATAGTCATGCTCCTGCATATTCGCGCCCCTCATGCCCTTCCCGCTGCTGCGGGACCTGCCTGCCTGTACTCGTTAGACGCAGCCAGGTGGGGTTTCATTCAAGCACCTGCACTTGTGAGAACACTCAGCTGTGAGGGAGTCCCACGCCCTCCCCGTTGCGGGGCCTGCCTGCCTGTGCTCCTCAGACGGAGTCAGGTGGGGTTCTGCAGTTTTTACGGCACCTCATTAAAACACCTGGCTGGCTCCCTGTGGATTTTCAGGATGTGAAAGTATTCACAGTGACAAGCTACATGCACTGGGTGGTCAGGTGGGGTTTATTCGTTTCAAGCTGCACGCTGCACTCGTTAGTTTTTTTGCACCCTGCACACCTACCTGTGAGGATTCTCAGAACGCCCACACTGCGCACCTGCGTGTGCTCGCCAGGCGCGGCCAGGTGGATTTGGATCATGCTGCGTAGGAATGACCCATAGCAGCTCATTCCACCTCATTCCCACCTCATGCCCACCGCATTCCCATATCATTCCCACCTCATACCCACTGCATTCCTATCTCATTCCCACTGCATCCCCACCTCATGCCCACTGCATTCTTATCTCATCCCCACCTCATTCTCTCTGCATTCCCATCTCAGTCCCATCTCAGCCCCATCTCATGCCCATCTCATCATTCCCACCTTATGCCATTTTATGTCCAAGCATCCCCACGCAAGGGTTTATGCACAAGCAGAAAAGTGCGCCACTCATAAGTACACGCTAAGTACATTGAGTCGACCAAACAATCATTCTCATCTCATACCCATCTTATGCTATGACATGTCCATGCCTCTCCCCACAGATGCGAATGTACAAGCGAGTGGGTGCGCCACTCATAGGCATCCCGCCCGATCAGATTCGCCTGCTTCCCACGTTCGGCAACGACCTGTTTCACACTGATGTGGTGTATCAGGTAAACCATGCATGCATGCATGCGTTTCATGTCCAAGCCTCTCCCACAGGTGCATGCATGCTTGCCCGATGTGGTGTACCAGGTTAAGCGCACATGCCATCAGAAGTGTGTGATTACTTTAGGAGGGGGAGGGAGGGGGAGGGGGAGGGGGAGAGGGAGGGGGAGGGGGAGGGGGGAGGGGGGAGGGGGAGGGGGAGGGGTAGGGGAGGGGGGAGAAGAGAGGGGATTAACAAGGAATTTCTAACCTAGACAACGAAAGCCTTCTTCGCAACGTGTCCAATAAATACAACTATCAGAGTAGTTAATGTGTAACGCACAAATCATAGCCCGTCACTGCTGGCGAGTTGATTTAGTAGTGAACCCAGTCCCAACTTGAACCTCAAGCTGGGCCCAATTTGCTCCGAGGCAAGGAAACGATCGCCTTGCAATCGTCGAGTGGGTGTAGCAATTAGAGATGTGGTGCCCGACACGAGCAGAATCTTTAGCTTTCGGATGAAACCGACATCATATGCCTCTCCGTTTCATTTAAGACGGGTTTTTTTTTAGCAGTTGGGTTTCAAGATCGTTTCGCCTAGACAAACTTGTCGCATTACCCTAACAAGCTGGATCCGCTTTTGCTATTTTGCCCCCTTCTTTTAAAAACTAGTGAAGCATCCGTAGATTGTAAAAATGCATGTCACGTATGTTTGTTTGCCATATGTTTTAAGGGGAATGCCCCATCACATGAATGGATAAGATAGTAGCGGCACACTAGAGGGGTCGAATTGTGTGTGTGTGTGTGTGTGTGTGTGTGTGTGTGTGTGGGTGTGTGTGTGCGGGCGGGCGTGCGTGCGTGCGTGCGCGCGCGTGTGTGTATGTGTCTGTGTGTGCGCTTATTTTTTACGATCCTTCAAACAGAGTAGTTCCGTTCCTTATTTGGCTCCTCCCCGCGTCTCGAGCCCATGCATGAGAATTCTGACCATACCATTCCCCCTATCACTCCTCCCCCACTCCCTCCGTCCCCCAGCCCATCTACCAGAACTGCCACCACCAAAGCCGGTCCATCTGGCGGTTGCTGCGGCGCCGCCATCTGCTGCACCCCTCCGGCATCCCTCTCTTCAACCCCGACTGGACCTACCGCAGCCACCGCCCTCTCTCCCCCGCCGAGGCTCGCTCCTTCCCCTCCGACTGGGTGGTCGTGCTGGCGAAGCGACCAAATTCAAGGCCACGGACTATTGTGAATTTTGATGAGGTGGAGAAGGAGGTGGTGAGGCGGTTTGGGCGTGAGAGAGTGGTGGTGTATGATGGTTCGCTGCCTATTCTGCAAGGTGAGGCGTATTCAATCCCCGCAGAACACACACACACACGCGCGCGCGCACACACACACACACACACACACACGCCAGGGTTGGCTGCCCCTGTGTCTGCTGCATTATCTCCAGGGTTGCGACCCACAACATGTTGACTTCCATGTCTTGAGTCCTCCTCGCCCCATCCACACCCTTCCCTTCCTCTCATTATTACATGCCCCATGCCATGCGCGTCTCATTACTCTCTCCCACCCAGCTAGAGACCTTATTTGCACACGTGATCCCCACCACACAACAGGCTGTGATTTCCAAACGTCTAAACACAGCAGAACCCTACACAGCAGGCTATCAAGCCACCGTCAGTCACCCAAATGATCGTGATTGGTTCCTGAGCTATCGCTAAAAACCAATGCGTCCTAACCCTCTCTCCCACCAGCAGAGCTCTTTTTGCAGACATGATTCTGTACAGCAAGCTGTGCCTTTGAGGCGCCTCCAAAACAAATTCTGCACGCCAGGCCAATGGTCATTCTGTACGCCAGGCCATGGAGCTGCTCTCAGAAACGCAATGGTCATTCCTAGCTCCCTCCACCCCTCTGTTCCACTTCCATTCCGTCCTCTTCCCCGCCCAATCCCCCTCTCACCTCCACCCCCCTCTACTCCCGACTTTCCCCCCTCAGCCCGTGCACTCCTCTTGCGAGCACGGCTCTACATAGCAGGCCACAGAGCCGCACTCACCAACATGATCTTCATCTATAGCTTCCCCAACCCCCCTCCCTCTCCCCTCTTCCTCCCCACACCCAACCCCCTTCTCAGCCCGTGCGCTCCTCCTGCGAGCGCGTCTCTACATAGCGGGCCACGGAGCCGCACTCACCAACATGATCTTCATGCCGGAAAAGGCTTCCCTGTTGGAGATTCGCCCGAAGGGATGCCCCGTGCCTGTCTATAATGGTCTCGCCTCTGCCTGCTCACTGCGGTACCATCTTGTGTTCAGCCAGGGGAATTGTTCGTCCACTGTGGTGGCTGATGTGGCGAGCGTGGCTCGGGTGCTTGATGCAATACATGATAGATTCCAAGTTGAGGATGGTACAGGTGGTGTATTCAGCTGAGTCTGATAAGAACCAGTATGGTGCAATGAATCTTATTGGAGGCAACAGGTTTCATGCTGAGAAAGGATAAGGCTCTTGAGAATTTATGGTTATGTGTCTCTTCCATCTATATAGTAGATTGTGAAGGAACCGAGGGACTTTCCTAGGTTATACCGTCATCGCCCGGATATAAGACATATATGTCTTATCTCGTACACTAGAAAAAATGTTTGGGTTATCTTGTATTTGGGGAGGTTGTGGGTGTCTTATAAGTCATATAAATGGAAACTTTTTAAACTACTTAATATTTTTTTTCACACATCTTGAAAAGAGTTTCTCATAATGAGTGTGGATGTTGCGAAGGTGCCACTTCGGCAACCATTGTTCGGGAAGCCACGTCATGGAAAATAATTGAGTCAGCACGTGGAAGAATTCGCGCATCGCAAAGGTAAAAATGTACGCGGTATTTGAAGTTTCACTATAATACATTGCAGTTTCGATTATAAGACACATATGTCTTATCTCGTACACTCAAATAGGTGTCTTATAATGAGGCTAGCCTGTTTATAAGAGACACCCGGATAATAGACAACCCATGTCTACTATTCAACACTGTCTACTATCCGGGCGATGACGGTATGGTGAGAAATGCCAGGGTGGACACATGGGAGCCGGTTTTGCATAAGCCTTTGGGAATATGGTAGCAGCATATACAATTGGGTGGGTGGGAGGGAAATTGGAACTAGAAATGAAAACGTGGGTGAGGGCGAATGGCCTCCCGTCCCTCTTTTGTAGGTAAAAGATGGTGAGTAGCGCTTCGACCTTTGTCGTACTGGCTATGTACTCACTTTCATAATATAAAAAAATAGAAAGTGTTGCACGTTCAAAAATTTATAATATTGTGAAGTCTCGCTTAGGCCAGCTTGCAAAGGCAGCGTTCCTTATTTCATATGGCTTTTCTGAGGCATGTGCACTCGCGACTGGCGGTGCCGCTCAATGGACTGCTGATGACTCGCGGGTGATGGGGCCGTTGAAGGATCCTGCAACTGTGTAGAGAGAGCGAGAGGAGTTGGTCTTGTGCGATTGTGGCGTACATCTCCTCAGCGCTGTCGCTGTGCCATCGAACCATCCATTTGAATAGTCGATCGGGGACTCCGAGGCTAGCCGCAGCAGTGGCTGCACTTTTGCGGAATGAGTGGATTCCGACGTGTGTGACATCCAGTCCGGCCTGCTTGCCGGCCGCGAGGCACTAGAGTCTGATGGTGGTGTAGGAGGGTGATTTGTCATCCGAGGCAGCTTCCACATTCTTATGGAACACTCGGATCAGCGGCCCTGGTGGCATCCTTGTGATGCCTTCAATGCGTATGAAGTTGCAGGTGCACCTCACAAGGTAGTACGAGCCCGGAATTGCAGCCACCGAGATCCAGACACCCTTTCCTTCCGGGCCTGTCTTAGAATGCAGGATGGAGCAACCACATTGTCGCCTCCTCGAACTGTACGTCACTCCATTGGAGGGAGACGAGGTCGAAGTAGCGCAGGAATGTCGAAAACATGAGACGGGAATCACGCCTTTCTGGTATCATGCGGGAATCGAGGATTTGAGGAAGGGGCGCGAAATGTCATGCACTTGATAGGGATATGGGTTTAAGGGTTCTGGCAGGCCTAGGTTCACGTCGTTTGGCCAACTCCCACAACTGTTGAGTGAATGGACCGACCGTGGGGGAGACTTCGCTTGCCATCCGATTGCCGAAGGCCAGTGCCGAACATGTGAGGTTGATTGCCGAGAGAGTGGCCTTGTTGTTGAGCACATGGATGAGACATAGCGCTAGTATCAAGTTGGTTGCAGGTAGAAACTCGAGCTTGCTAGCGTCAAGTTGGTTGCCGGTAGAAATTCGAACTTAACTCGGGTACAGAAAGTTTGAAATCTCAACCAATAAGGTTGGTACGTCTCTATTGTGGGTGGAGCTCAAATATGGTTAATTATCTGCACCAATTGTTGTTGAAGTTTAGCAAACAGTCCTGAAAGGACATGTTGGTCAGGTTCGTTAAAATCGTATAGTTTACACGCAAAGCAATACTTGGGCTATGAGGCAATCAGAGTAAATGCTGAGGTGTGTGAGCCCGACTGAAGGCATTGATTGGTTTGGGCACCGGGTAGGTGCTCCGCCATTGCCGAGGCCCACGTTTCCGTTTGCATGCGCTCCACATGGCGGAGCGTAGATGGGATTAGGTGTGGGGGCGGGAAGGCAAAGCAGCGATTGCCCTTCCAAGAAATGAAAAATGTGTCCATGGCGACCGCACCTGGGTTTGGTATCTTAGAGCAGAAGTTTTGGACATGGTTGTTACGAGCGTTTGCAAACAGGTCGATCATATGGGGGCCCCACACACGCTCCAAGAGGCGGAACCAAGGTGCATGTAGGGAATAGTCGTCCTAATCTTGCAGCTCGAATAATTCATCCGCATGGGCGTTGAGCCCACTCGGAATCCATTCAATCACGAGGCGTGTTGTGTTGCCTAGAAAGAACTGGATGATTGCTTGGCACGTCAACGTCAGGTTAGGCTTATGGTAACCCCCCTTGCGCAAGATGAACATGACCGACTGGTTGTCAACTCGGACGAGGACGTGAGTGCTCGCGATTTGTGCTGCGAATGTTTGCAGCGCCTGGAGCACTCCCTCGATGCTAGATGTAGTGAGTGTCAGAATAACGAACAGGAATGAATGAACTAGGATGGGTACAAGTAGCAAACCCTAATTTGGGTTGTACCCCATATGGGCTACCCCACTACAGCCTACACAATAAGCAGCATGTATGTTTGACGCACCCCCATAGGCAAAGTGGGGGAGAACAAGAGGTCACAAGACCAGTCAAGAAAGGCAAAGCAAGCTCAGGGTGGATCACGAAGTCACCACACATTCTGAGCACAAGCAAATGGCCACAAGGCCAGTTCACATGCAGAGTTATATGTAAAGGAGAACAAGCAGTACAGTGATCACAACCTAGCAAGTGTAAGCATGCAGGTATAAGTATATAGATCACAGTACAAGCAAAGTCAAGAAGAGAGCAAGTGAGGCCAAGTAGGCACAAGGCCTAGAACAGTACAGAAACGCTGATGATCACAAGGCTGAATTGCCTTAGTGAAGATATCAGCAGTGTTGGCCTGAGAGGCCACGTAAACAAGACGAAGCTGACCACGCTGCTGCAACTCTCGAGCAAGGAAGTAGCGCAGAGCGATGTGCTTCGTTCTGTGCTCCAGTCTGTGCTCCTGACACAAGGCAATCATGGCCTTGTTGTCGACGTACAGAACTGGAGGAGAACGAGGCGCCTCTCCCAAGTCGTTCAGCAGGTAGGTGAGCCAGCGTAACTCCTATGCAGCCATGGCCCCAGCGTAGATCTCAGCCTCACAACTGCAGCTGAGAACAGAAGACGAGCGGGTAGACCGCCACGAAACAGAACCGGAGCCAAGGCTGAAGGTGTAACCCTGTGACGACCGCTGCGTAGCCAAGTCGTCAACCCAAGAAGCGTCTGCGTGACCAGTGAGGGCAACTGGACCCCGTCCTCCAAGCACGAGCCCCATGCCCGACGTACTGCACAAGTAGCGCATCACCCGCTTAGCGGTCTTCCAGTGCTCTGGTCGGTGTCTCCCGGGCGTAACGTAGCGTGCCAGGATGCTAAGAGGGTAAGCAAGGTCAGGTCGAGTGCAGGTCATCAGGTACATGAGGCAGCCCACAAGCTCTGGATACGGGCCACTCGGCTCTACGGACTCATCCGAAGGCAGAGCTGAGAGCGAGTGGCGCGTAGGCAGAGGAGTGGACTGCGGCGAGGAGTACTGGAAGTCGAAGCGCTGAAGGACCTGCTGCACCATGTGTGACTGAGTCAGGGTAATGGTGTGCCGTGCTCTGTCCCGGGTGATCTGCAAGCCAAGATAGCTGCGCAGCTCACCCAGGTCTGTGCACGTGTGTCTCTTCTGCAGCTCCGACTTCACGTGGGCCAGTCCAGCAGTGTCAGCAGTAGCAAAGACCAAGTCGTCGCCGTACACGAGGATGTAAAACGGCGGCAGCGAAGTGTCGGTGCGTAGAAACAGCGACGGGTCAGCAGTAGAAGGAGCAAACCCAAGAGCCGCAAGAGTCGTCTCAGTGTGTCGTGCCACTCGCGAGGCGCCTGGCGGAGACCGTAGACTGGCCGCCGGAGGCTCCACTAGGTACCTGCAGGAAACGACCCAGTGAAGCCAGGTGGGCGGCGCAGCCAGATCTCCTCGTGCAGGCTGCCCTGTAGGAAAGCAGTGCTGAAGTCAAGAGAGTGAAGCTCGTAGTCACGCTGAGCGGCGACGTGCAGCAGTACCTGAAGAGTGGTCATCTTCGGGGTAGGGGAGAAGGTATGGAAGAAGTCAACTCCCTGTCGCTGACTGAAGCCTCGTGCAACGTAACGCGCCTTGAAGACAGGCGGAGAACCCGGCGGCCGCTTCACCCTGAAAATCCACATGCCACTGACGATGTTCGCCCCAGGTGGGGGAACCTCGTCGACGTAAGTGCCTGTGGACTTCCAGGATGCCATCTCTGCGTCCATGGCTGACTGCCACTGAGAGGAGTAGGGACCCTCTATCGCCTCTGCGTAAGAGCGCGGGGTCGGGATGTCTGGTGCATCCGGGTCTCCCTCAGGTGCAATCAGCATGGACACGAGATGAGGTACAGCAGCTGCAAAGAACTCAAAGTCCTCCTGCCTGTCCTCAAGGACGTCCATGCCAAGAGCATACTCACCCCCGACGGACGGAGGACAGATAGACTCTGACTCAGCAACAAGGCTAGCGGCGTAGTCTAGACGACAGCGAGCAGTAAAGTCGACAAGCTCAGCAACTAAGGCAGATGCAGCAGTGGACTCAAAGGAAGGGTCAGTGACAACAGTGGCCAGGAGACGCGTGACAGTAGGACTAGCAGCACGAAGGGAGTCAGACTCCGGGTCCGGACCGTCAGCAAGGGAGGACGCAGGAGGAGACGGCAGAGGGACACGCAGTGGAACAGAGGA